CCCCAGGCTGTGCAGCTGTAGTGCTGCGCACAATACAGCATTACATTCTTCTACTTCATAGGTTCAGTTTAAGGGAAAACCCCACTTTCACTGATACGTTTTATGATTTTCCCTCTACACTTTCCAAAATCCCTTTTGTTAGTTAAATGTAAAATGAAATACCAAAAACCAAGACACTTATTTTTATGCCCTAGCAATACTTGTATAGATCTTTACAAACACCCCTGGCCATTCCTGGGATTAATGCTCGGTCTTGAGTCTCTCAGACAGACATATTTTTTCCAAAATATTATGAACATAATTGCGCCATTCCAGACTAAATAATGCTAACAGAGTGGAGATAAATGGCTCCATCAACTCGCCTTTCATTGCTCTTACACCTATTATTAGATTACTGCAGCCCAAACAAGGAGAAAGGCAATTCTATATTGATCCCGACCTTTACTCATCATCATTTCCATCAGCTGCCCAGCCGGTCGCCCCCACCGCCCATCAGCTACATCCAAAACATACACACTTTGCACCCATATCTGTAATGTCAGCTTTTAGATGTTCGCAAAATGCTGAGATCTCACCGTGTAATGTAACTTTGAAATAGCCCAGTCAATGCTCCAAGGTCACCTGAATTATACTAACAAGAGCTTTCAAGGGAAGGAAAAAAAAAGCTAGGAAGCTCTCACAGTTGCTTTTAACTGCATGATCACCTTGTGCGTCCTGCTGTACCATGTTTTTGTCTTATGAAGCATTTAAAGTGAACCTACAGAATGGAGATCAAACATTTAGACAACCACTTTGGAGTAGGATTTAATTTTATAGAGAGCTCTTGTTTGTGGCTCACATATATTACCAGTCCTTAAAATGTATTTGTGCTCTTGGGGCAAACCTGACATAGAATCACAACTGAGACGTGAAATAATCACCAGTTATAATTGGGGATGCACCGATACCGGTATTTTGGTACCGAGCACGAGTACGGATAATTTGTTTTCGGTACTCGCCGATACCAATTAGTACCGAGTACCGGAAGTCCCATTCAGGAAGCCAGGTGGCGTGTAATGACTCGCCACCTGGCTTCCCAATTAACAAGAAAGTCTGTCCCCTCTCACCTCGGCATGTCCAGCCTGTCACCCCCGGGGCCTCTCCAACCGGAGTCGTCTTGCTGGCCAATCATGGAAGCCGGGCGCCGTGTAATGACGCAGCGCCCTGCTATCTGATTGGCCGGCTCCATGCTCCCTCGCCATGAGATGACGAGGTAGCATGAAGCCGACTTCCCAGCCAATCAGAATGCCGTGCGATGCGTCATTACACGGCTTCCTGATTGGCCAGCTTCCCGACCAATCAGGAAGCTGGGCAGCACGTCATTATACGCTGCCCGTCTTCCTGATTGGCCGGGAAGTCGGCTCCATGCTCTCTCATCACAATCAGGAAACCGGGCAGCGTGTAATGATGTGCTGCCCGTCTTCCTGATACATAGGGTATCGGGCTAGGCATCGGAGCATTTGGGCGAGTACGAGTACTCGCCAAAATACTCGGTATCTGCACCGATATCGATACTAGTATCAGTATCGATGCATCCCTAGTTATGATGAATGACCTTTTTTGGAGCATTTTGAGGGTCATGTTTTCTGTCACATGAATAGTACCCTTAAAAAGTGCCTGTAACTAGGCTGGAAACAGTCAAACAGCAGAACTACCTGAAGTGTTTCTGTGACACTTTGAGTCAAATTTCCTGTAGCTGAACAGCAGCTTTAAAATAATTCTAACTAAGCTGGAAACAGCCGCCAGAACTCCCTTTCCATATCTCCTTTGTCTGCCTGTTTAAGACAGGAAAGCAGATGTGAGGGTGCACATCGGATACTCTTAATGTGTATGGATTCTAGCATTACAGTTTTTGAGTTTATGGCAACTACAACCTTGACAACCTAACAGCATTGAAGGAAGGAGTAGGTGATACAAGGCACTTCTTATGCATTCTTTGTCTGGATGACTCCATCATACAAAATAATAAAGCTGAACTCTAGGCAAACAGTTAACGTGACACTAAACTCAGGAGTTCAATCACTACTTGCTAGCAATAGATATATGCAAAAATACGCTGAGGGTTTAATTGTCCTTTAAGTATAACCGTCATTAGGTCCTTGCTCCACTTTTTTGTAAAACATTTGACTGTCCTCCTCATTCCACTTTCCAGCCACAATCTTTATTGAATGTGTTTCTTTGTGTCAGATCCTCAGCAATGTATAAAGACCATCTTCTACTCACGTATCCCATTCCCCCAATGAGGCTTCTTCATTACTTCTCAGCAGGCTCAATCTAATTAGGGATGTCTGATTCTCAGTGCCAATATGTTGCCTTCCGTGTAATTTAAACTGACACATATGCCTAACCCTTACAAAATTGGTTTATGAAAGATATTTCATACAAGCTGTTTATTTGCTTGCATGACTCGCAGCTGGCAGTCGCCCTGGCCAAGCCAAAGGCTGTTTTCATTGCGACTGCTCCTTCGGAGCGCTGGGCACCTCCACATCCCGACACATAACTCGATCAGACTTCCAGTATCGGTGGGAATATAAAGCCTCGTAAACACCACAGAGACAGTTTCATATTTACAACGCTGAATAACAATTGCCCGATGCTAAGCAGTTTGCTTAGAATCTTCACTCCCCATAGAGGCCTATGCCAATCTGTTGGAATATCTTATACAAAACACGTTCTGATTATAATCTAGCTGAATGCACCAGTGATCAGCACCGCTCTGCTACTGTTCTCTAATTTTATCCTTTTTTATTTGGGCTTTTCGAAGATGGTTGGTTTTGCTGAAATGCTGAGTGCAAGCAAAGCAAGCAATTCCTCAGTTTGACATAGAGTAAACTTGCATAATGTACACTATGGATTGAAAGTAGTGCACCCCTTTAAGAGATACACAAAAAAAATGGAACACTTCTAGAGCTGCCATTAAGAGAACTTGATTACACCATCCTTGCTGAATGCTCACTTCAAGATGCTCCTTTTAAAGAATTCTAGGCAAATGACAAGCACTTAATACTTCTTCCTTTAAGTGTTACATATGTAAAATTGACTAGCAATCCAATTAGGTCGAGAAAGAAAGAAAAAAAAACCGTTATATATAAATTTGACGCAGAGATTCTTCCGCCTGTTCCAAGGCAGTCAGGAAATGGCAAATTAAGATGCCGTTCGGCATTCTCGGTGAAAAGATGTCTTTTTAACGCTGGTGGATGATAAATTACCTTAAGTAGCACATTAATGTCAGAGACTGAGTATAATCCAACTGCTTGCCAGTGTCATCATAAAATGGCTTTCAGACATCATTTGTACTATTCCAACATTAAATTTAATAACTTTCAGAGAGACCGCAGCAAGCGGGAGGAAAGAAATTCAGTTAAAAGAGGCGCTCCGCGTTGGCTCATTGCTTTTAAAGGGTGAGTTGATCTAAGTGGATGGAACTGTTTGATGTTTCCAACACATTAATACGCGGAGTGGATAATTTTCTCTATTATGTTTATCAAGGGTGGGCGGCTTCCGCAGGGACCGTAAAGACAGGTGAGCTCTTAAGAACAAAACATAAGCAACGTTGTATAATATTGTACTTGACTGCTGAGGATATCAAACCATTTGTGGGCATTATTGCTGCTTGGAGACGTTCTGAAGGAAGATTAGGTTGATAGGCTGTTGTTAGTGTATGTAGATGTATCACATACAAAATATAGCTTAGCTTTCAAGCAGCATAGATGAATGGAAACCGCAAGTTTCAGCATGCCGTATTTACAAGCAGGAGACTAAGACTTCTCATGTCTCTATTAATGGGAATCTTTATATAACTAAATCGAAGACTGCAACTAATTGAGCAGATGTGAAATCACTATCCCAATTTGTAAACCAATCCACGAATCACAGAGTATATCTGTAAATCGAGAGCGCTAAGCTGTCCCTCACTATTGGTTTTCACCAATGGAAATTGTTGCCATGTGGAAAGGAAGATGGAGAACGTATACAATAAACATTACCACCAAATATACAATCAATAGCTTACAGTATATTTAAAGCAAGACGTATTCTTTTTTTATTTTATTTTTTTCGGATAGCGAGGTGAAGGGTCTGAAAACCAGTCAGGTTTGTTTGTTGTCTGTCTCTGTTATGGTCACCATGCATATTACAATCTAACCATAAAACCAACTTAGATTTAACAAAACACTCTAATATGAGGACTTATCTAAACTATCCAATCACTTTGTATTGATTACCAGTTAAGGTATTTGAATGCATTTTTAAGATTTAACTCCTGTCACTTTAAAGGAGAACTATGAGGTGAGTGAAAATCACTCAGCCTCATAGTTCTAGCCGACTTGGGACAATGAAACTGTCACAGGTCGGCTCAATAGATTGGGAAGTGAGCGAACACATAGCGTCACTCGCTCACTTCTCGATCCTGTCCCTGCAGAGAGCCGTGAATGTCACTCAGGCTCCCTGCAGCGATTCTCCCCCCCTCCCCTGTCCGACCCTTCAGCGCTGACTGGCGGAGCAGACAGGGGAGGGGGCAGGTACATCTGGCTCTGCCTCTAGATAGGCAGAGCTAGCTGTCACTTACACAGCTGGGTAGATCCAGGAATCCGTCCCGGCTGTGGTGTCTCCTCAGTATACCGCGAGCTGTGGCTCCCGTTACCCTTAGGAGAACTATGGGGAAAAGCCCTGACCCCATAGTTCTCCTTTAAGGATCAATCTGTGCCACATTTAAGAAGAACAGGAGGGATAGGGAAATCTGGTCACACGGTTACATATAACATTGGTAGAAAATATTTAGTGCTAAATATCTGCAGTTTATCTGCAGACTCCCAACTGAAAATTAGGATTTTAAACGAGCAGAAGGGGACACGTGGAAAAATCTATACATGAAGAAGAAAATAGGGAAACATTCTGGTGAGAAGTGTAATATTCACACTATATTTATTACCTAAAAAACAAGCTTTTTCTGATCATTTTACCTTTCCCATGCCGGGGTGCTCTTTGATTTTCAACACTGCTCTCATCAAACACGGAGGAGTCGGCGGTGGACACAGCTGAAGAATGCCACTGAAGTTGGTTAGGAAAGTGGAGTATTCCCTGGAGTGGGGGAGCGGCGGATGATACTTCTTGCGCTTCGAGGACAGGTTGAGCTTCTGCGCCGCTCTGCAACAAAGTAACATGGAAAGTCAGTGTTACTGCAAAAAACCCCAAGCAATTTAGTCCATCAAAACAGATGTTCATTGTCATCTCGGCCTGTTTAACAAATCAAGTCATTTCAACCTAATCACATTTCATAAGAACATATCGCCAAGAGACCCATAGAGGAGAAACTCGGGCCGAGATGCAGGCAGCAAGTTGCCGACTTAATCTGTCCCCCAGCAGAATTTCAATTATTGGGTAACTTTTTATCCAACAGCTTGACAGCTGAGTCCAAGACTTCTGAAATCTCATTGACATCGTAAAAAATGCTTCTATGGTCCCCTAGCCACCGTTGGTACCAGATGTGCTCCATGGAGCCGGCAGTTAAGGGGATGCTGTGTACCACTCTTATTGTCTTATCAGTACAATGAAACGATATTCCCATACATATTACTAAAATACCGCCGCAAATGAAAAGTCTTTACCAGATGAATTTTTCATTTCTTAAAGCAATTTGCGCTGTTGGTGACAAGCTTTTATATTATTACCTAGCGCTGAATTACCAGCTCTTCATGGAAAGGCCTCATCAGTAATATATCAACACCACATATGTACTGTATATTCCGCGGGGAACTGCTAAAACATTCTGATGCATTCTGAAACATTTACACCAATTACTTTAAATGTGCTTTTTTTGGAGCTTTTGACAAAACTCGATTTTAACAGTTGCAGCCTGGTAGGTACATGGTCTTACAACAAAAAGAGCTGAAACATACTAGTTATACATGAAAAGCACTTGCAGGACTGTAAAGCTTTATGATTTTATTATTATTATTCTCACAATGGATATTCTTTATCAACAGTGCAATCTGCAACTGCGTGCCTTGATGGCGAATAGCATATGCTGCATTTTGATTGGTCAATCTATATATGATGATGGCCATTCAGAGCCAGACTGAACATAAAACAAACATCTCTACAGGCAAAGAACACCAAAGAATTTTTATGTGCATGACCAAGTTTTGGCAAATTCTGTAGAGTAAGAATGGTAATGGTTCTGTGTGAGCTCCACTACCAAGTCAGTGCAAATACACAACGTAGTCACAATTACAAAGTTTAAGTAAATGTTATAAGTTCTATTGAAACCGTGCTGATTGCAACTGAATAGTGTGGAAAAGCACACGCAAGCTGACACTTAAGCTGGCCATACCCCTATAGATTATCTGCAGATTTTCTATAGTCAGATGGAAAGTGCAACAGATTCCTCCATCTATACTAAACTGTGTGGATGGAGGGATCTCCCACTGGGCCAAGCTTCAGTATCTTGCTAGTCGGCTCCGCTGGCTGTGCAAATAGCTGAACAATCTGATTGGATGCAGGCATAGTTCAGGTGTTTTGAGAGCCAGCCAGGCTGACTAGCAAGATACTGGAGCTTGCCCCAGTGGGAGATTCCTCCATCCACAGTTTAGCGTAGATGGAGGAATCTGTTGCACTTTTTCCATTTGACCATAGAAAATCTGCAGATAATCTATAGATGTATGGCCAGTGTATGGCCAGCTTTACTCCCAAGCTGACCAGCTCTTCTCCAGGGCCTCCAGTTGGGAATTGTGGTTTATAATGTTCAAAATCTGTTTATGAAACTTGGATACAGACAAAAGGGGTTGCAGGCATGGATTAAGAAATCCATACTTGCGACACCCTTTTGTCCAGATCAAAGTTTCATAAATCAGATTTTGAACATTAAAAACCCCAATTCCCAACTAAAGGCCCTGTCCTGTCTGCTTTACATGCAACTCTACCATTGGACTACAGAGTTCTCCAATGCAGAGCCTGACATTATGATCACAGATGACTTGAGCTATTGAGCAAATCAAAACTCTTCTCAGCATCCCAGGAATTCTTCTGCCCTTCGGTTTCACTTGCTAGATTTTCCCACAAGGGTTCATATGTACATTGAACAAAAAAAGGTGACACCTGTATTAATGTTCCAGTGAGCAATGCTAAAACGTGTGCTACGCTATAACACTATAAATGGGAAAGGCACATCTGCTAACCTATATGCAAAGCTACCACTGGTCTATAGCATTTTCCAATCAAGAGCCCAAACCACAAGTCATAATTTGTTTCCCTTTCTAACGTTTATTTATATGGTGTATATGGAATATGTGACTGGGTGACAAGGCAGAAGCACAAATAGGAAACAGGGACAGAGCATTGTCAACCCATAACAGGAAATGCCTGAACTAGGACCTTCATGGCAGGATCTCTAGGTATTTAATGAAAGCTGCAGTTTCAAAAAGATCGATAATGATTTTTGAAATGACATTAACTTGTTAATGATTGTGTGAGGTTTTAGTGATTTGGTTTACATCTACTTAAAGCCAACACGTTAATATCGGCACTTTTCTATCTTCCAGATCGATCTGGGATACTCAAATTTAGAGCTCATTATGAAAACATCAACTTTCTGCTTTAGCAAGTCTGTTATCCAGCATGTATGCCCCCCGCCAAATACAAATAGTGCAGATATGTAAATTGGTAAGGCTCACACTGCACTGGGGGGTGCGGAAGGTATGGTACAGCTCTGACTTCGTACTTGGAATTTAAAATAAGTTTACTTTAACCCCTTCATGACTGAGGCCTTTTTTTCATTTTTTGTACCCATGTTATATTCCACATTTTAGGCCTGAAAATTACTTAAAACCCCCCAACATTATATATTTTCTGAATGCCAAGACCCTATAGAATAAAATGGTGGTAGTTGCAAATTTTTATGTTGCGCAATATTAGCGCAACTCCTTATTAAACCCCAATATTTAGTGAAAAATTTAATTAAATGCCCCAAAACACAACAAAATACCCATTTTTTTAACGATGCTTCTAGGGATGTTCCAATACCAAGCACCGTACTTGGTACAAGTACAGATACTTTTCCAGCTCCAAGACTAGACTAGAGAAAAACGTAAAAGTTAGGAGGCAGCTGTCATTTGTAAGGAGCACACTGAGCTCCTGGGATTTGTACTTCTCTGTTTTAATGTACGATTTGTTTTATAAACATACATAAAGGGATGCACCGATACCATTTTTTCAAGTACAAGTACTGATACTTGTCCAAGTCCTCACAGATACAAGTACTGATACATTTTTGTTTATTGTCATGTGACAGTTTTTCTAAAACAATACAGACAAATGATTTTAGGACAGTGGTGGAGCGCCAGAGCCAGGTCCCAGCTGCAACCGCTAGAACCCTGGTAGTTCTCATTAAAATGCCAAGTATCGGCACTGGTATCTGAACATCCCTAGATGCTTCCAAAATACACTACATTTTGTACACGCCACAAAAAAAGCTAGAATTTCCCAAATATATTTATTTTTGCTCTAAATACAGTTAAACCTTGTGTTAATGATTGACTGAACCAACGCACTCTCGTTATTGCGCTGATAAATATTTCATATTTAATGATCCAATTAGCGGTTTCCTTCTACCTTTCCAGCTAATCAATGACTGGTTGTCTAACTTCAGCTGCAGAATGTACATATTTATCCCCAATGCCCATACACGCACCAGCAGCAAATCAATTACTATAGCTTCCATCTTATTTCTGCACACAACGTGAACAGTTTTCCTCTCACTGCCCTTAGAAACATGTCAGGAAATAGAAGACACACATCTCCTTCGATAGACAAATCATCAAAATATAGAGGAGAGAGAGAACTGATGAGATAATTAAATCTCCAATGATACTTGTCCAAGTCCTCACAGATACAAGTACTGATACATTTTTGTTTATTGTCATGTGACAGTTTTTCTAAAACAATACAGACAAATGATTTTAGGACAGTGGTGGAGCGCCAGAGCCAGGTCCCAGCTGCAACCGCTAGAACCCTGGTAGTTCTCATTAAAATGCCAAGTATCGGCACTGGTATCTGAACATCCCTAGATGCTTCCAAAATACACTACATTTTGTACACGCCACAAAAAAAGCTAGAATTTCCCAAATATATTTATTTTTGCTCTAAATACAGTTAAACCTTGTGTTAATGATTGACTGAACCAACGCACTCTCGTTATTGCGCTGATAAATATTTCATATTTAATGATCCAATTAGCGGTTTCCTTCTACCTTTCCAGCTAATCAATGACTGGTTGTCTAACTTCAGCTGCAGAATGTACATATTTATCCCCAATGCCCATACACGCACCAGCAGCAAATCAATTACTATAGCTTCCATCTTATTTCTGCACACAACGTGAACAGTTTTCCTCTCACTGCCCTTAGAAACATGTCAGGAAATAGAAGACACACATCTCCTTCGATAGACAAATCATCAAAATATAGAGGAGAGAGAGAACTGATGAGATAATTAAATCTCCAAAAGATTCCCCAGCGGAAGCTTGCAGCAGAAAGTAAAAAATAAAAACGCATTTTGACAATCTCGATGTTCCAGTAGACATAATTTGCCATTAATAGGAATTGTTGCATTGACCAACTTGCTCAAGTTTCATTTCCATGTCTTCGGGGAAACAAATGTCTATTTTTCTAAGAACTTAATGTGTGTCGTTAGCAGTTCAGTCCACCCAAAACTCTCAGGGGCTCTTTTTGTGGTATTTTTAGCACACCTGCTGTGGCCATTATAGGGAGGTCCCACACTCCTTGTCCTTTTCTTTTATCTTATAAAGCAGGGGTAGGTAAACTCCAGCCCTCCAGCTGTGGTGCAGCTACAAATCTCATTAGGCAGACTCTGACAACCACAGGCATGACTTCCAGAGATAGATGCATGATGGGATTTGAAGCTTGGGGTATCAAAGACACATAAAACATACAAGTCAGGGCCTTACTCAGCTCTCCAAATTACACACACAAAAATTAACTCCCCAATCTTTTCTCTGACAAAGTCACAACTGTCTCTCCTTCACATTGCTCATGCACACTGCAGCCCCAATTTCTATAGGTAAGCCATAATCATGGTGGCCTCCCAGCAGTTCCTTCATGTACAGGTATATGGGTGTGCATCATGCATGC